TACAAGTCGAGAGGGTTGAGTGAATGTTTTTTGTATGACAAGATGGATTGCCTGCGACAGAAGAAATGTCGCAACCACCCTCTCTCGGGCAGTGCTACATCGCAAGGAATGGGTTCTTGCATACTCTGCCTTGCAGCTTTCCACATTGAGAATCTAGTTCAGCCAGCTGCTTGCTTGGCTTTTGATGTAGCTGCATCCCTTTCGAGGCTACCGCTGGCATGGAGCTGCTCGCCGTCATGTGCGGTGGCGAGACCGGTGTGAAGGTTGCCGATGCGCTCGCAGAGTTCTTAAATCTTCGCGGGAATAGCATTGCGGATGGCATGGAGAACCGGAGGGACAAGCGGGTCCAGCAGGAAGCCGTGAAGGCAGCCGGGCTCCGGTCCGTTCGCTCGGCCTGTGGCACTTCTTGGAGCGAGGCAGAGAAAAGGGGAGCGGCCCACGGAAACCCGGCTCATTTTTTTCGTGAAAAGTTTGGGTGTGTGTTGCGGATTCTGTTTCGGTGTCTCTTGTCTCCCGGGAGGTCAGCGACTTCGCTGCGCAGGAAGCCTTGCCTCTGATCGTGAAGCCGGTGGAGTCTGCCGGCTCAGATGGAGTGAAGAAGTGCAACACCGTCGCGGAGGCAAAGGAACACTTCGAGCTGCTCATGAATTCGCACCGCAAGTCCGGTGCTCAAGGCGCAGCAGTCTTGGTGCAAGAGTTTCTCAAAGGCAAAGAGTACATCGTCGACATCGTGTCAAGAAACGGGGTCCACAAGACGACCATGGTTTGGGTGTACGACCGAAGACCCGCCAATGGTGGCGATTTCGTGGTGTACGGACAGAAGTGTGTGCTTGCAGACGATCCTGTGGCGCAACAGCTGATTGCTTACAGCAAAGGCTGCCTGGATGCCCTGAAGGTCACCAATGGCGCAACACACACCGAGGTCATGATGACCGCCGACGGGCCATGCCTCGTCGAGGTTAACAGCAGGTGCCACGGTGCTGCGGGCGGCTCCCCTCGCGGAAGCACTCACCGGCTATACGCAAGTGGGAGTTTGCGTGGATGCCTTCTTGAACCCCGAGGCTTTTGATCGTTTGCCTCCGTCACCATTCCTCAAGGCGAGAACTCGTTCTGAAACCGAAACATGTCATCGCGTTTTGGTTGGCAAGTCCAGCGTGGTCGGATTCAGGTCTCAGAAAGAGGCTTTGGTTGGGCCGTGGCCTGAGTTGTGTTCGGCAACTTTTGATCGGGATTGCTGTGTGTGGTCACCTGTCAGGCGGGAGAGATGGTCTGTCTCATCTCTTTCCAGGAGGGTGTC